TATATATATATATAACTGGTGTCACCAACACTGGTGTTGTAAAAGAATGCACCATTGTAACAAAAGAAAAGAAGTGTTTAACATGTCCGTATTATTAGACCCAATGTTTTCCAAACATATGGACATATGGTATAACCTACCCCGACATCATCCACAAGCATCTTGTCGAGTCCAACTGGTCCAAGCGAAGATTTGACAATATTAGATATCGCTAATGCTGCCATAACTGAAATTGCGACAGTAAGATTAAAATGAATAAATTTCTGCAGGAATTTTCATCAAATTCCCCAAAAGATTAAACTTCACGTATAAGGATGATTATAAAAAGGTTAACAATCCAAACAGAAATGCATCAATAATAATAGTGTAAATAAATAATCGTGTTGTAAAACAAAACAATACCATTCTGTGTTCTGACGGACTGACCCGAAGTACGTTTGCCCGTAACAGCAAGGAGTCTTTCGCCACCAGATGCCATTTTTCCTGAATAATTAATCATAACTGCATTATCTAAACGATAAATATTAACACAGAATACAGGAAATGTTGCCACAACTCGCCTTGTACCTTAGCCGTTATTCAGAGGACAAAACATTCCCATCGCCTTAAGAAGGCAAACCACATCCTCCCGTCCTACTCACTCCATCCGTATATCCTACGACGTTGCAATCCAAGCACGGACTCGCTATGAAAAGTCAGTCTTCCGTCTGAATGCGACTGTGAGGGGTGCTACTGTCGGATCTGTTGAGTTGTCTAACTATTAATCATATTCGACTAACTTCCACACTGTTTTTACCTTGATCCTCGGGCGCTATCAGTGATTGGTAACTGCTTTATTCTTTTCTTCTTTCAGTTCACTCATCCTCTACCTTTCCGAGAATCTTGAGATATGACATGATGACGTCATTGTTGTTCCGGATGATACCAAAGCGCGACGCTCACTTGTACGACAGATGGGATTCCAGTGACACCGAGTTTCATATGTTGCCGAACTGTACGGATGGAATTAGATGGGTCCTGGATGTAATGCTATTCTTGCATTTGAATTTCATTTAATAGCTTCGTAACTTATGGGTTATTCGATGTATTTTTTGACGAGAATTTCCACATAGAGATCGGATTCGAGAGCTTTAAAAAAAACTAGTCTTCGTCAATACCTGGAAATAATCATGGAAATGAGGAGAATTACTTCAACCATTTGAAGTAGTTCCTCAATCGATATGTGCAAAACTATCCGTGTATTTTAAAAATAAGCTTAAATTGCATGTCCGATATATTTACTAAGTCTCATTAGAGACATGAAATAAATAGGAGTATTGCTGTAATTACTTCTATCCACGTAGAATTCAGCACTAATTTAAGGTTTTTGGGGATTGTGTCGACACGAACTTGAAATTAGTTGGTTTTATCGTTGGGTTCATATCATTGTTCTTGTGGCTTCTACCATTAATTCCACAGCTTTTACATAATTATCGTACTAAACGATGCGATGGTCTTTCCATCTATTTCATTCTTTTTTGGTAAGTTCTGTCAAGCCAGAGTATATTGTTTGTAGAGGAAGAAAACACTTTGATTTGGGACTACTTTCTACTGCAAAAGGTAATTAAAATATTCTAGCAGTTTTTTATGAATGGTTTGCTACAAAGCAACTTTTCCACTGATTTGCATTTTTCTTTTATCAATATTATGTTTTTTGCAAAAATTATTGCTGAATAAGAAAGAGTGTAAAGCTCAGGCTAACATCTCTAGATAGGCGTTTGAATCATCTACTTCATTTTTTAATTTTGAGGATTGTTGGTGATTCGTGCAATGCGGCTGGAGCAGTACTTACAGATCAACAACCTCTTCAAAAAATTATTGGTGTTTACTACATCATGCAGGTATGCAACTTCTAAGATTACAAATTTTATACGTGTTTGTAAGAAATTGTTCCTTTATGCAAAAGCAGTTTTAGTTTCATGCATGTTTTCAGGATGTAGTTCTTCTTAGTCAGTATTTTTATTACAGTCGCATCTATTCACATCCACTGCGAGGTATTTCTTCAAACCAAATTTTTTTGATTTTTCACTTATTTTGTTAATGCTTTTGCAAATGGAAATGCCTTTATAACCGCTTTTGAAATTCCCAAAATAAATTTCAATACGACCAGTTTCTTATCGGCAATGCAACTTTTACCATTTGCGGTTAGATCGCCTTCATTAATTTGGTTGTGTGAAAGCTTCGAGCTTCCTTTTGTTTTTTTTAATCTTGTTCTCATTGTTAGTCATTTCATATGAACTGATTATCAGTTTCGGCACGAATTAATCCAATAACAAGTCCAACAGCGATAGTACCTGGCATTTTTGTTGGATTATTTTGGAGTGGGACATTACTTTCGAGTGGACGTGCATCAAATAAATTTGATTATCAAGCTTATAAAATGTCATTCAGAAGAAGAAAATTACTTTCTGCGGAACTAATCGGTGGACCACCATTTTTTTACGGCTACTACGATTTGGTTGGCATAATTTCATATGCTAGATTTACTATGTTTTAACAAATCTGAAGTTAAAAAGTGAAGATTTACGCGTTTCCTGTTAGCAGGAAAGAACAGGTTATTCACTTGCATATAAGGAAATTGCTTCGTTTTCTAGCTCGGATATATAATTGGTTCTATAGCCGCAACATGTTACTTTGCTGGTCGAATCCCGCAGCTGCTGAAAAATTATTACCGTCAGTCTTGTGGAGGTATTATATCATGACAGCAACATTAATTCATCTCCTCACCTGCAAGCTGAAATTGAAATAGCACAAAAGATGCAAATTTTTGCAAAAGAGGAAGCCCTTTTAGTACTTTTAGTGGGACATTCATTGAATAGAATTTTCCAGTGATTAGTGATTTTTGTAGCGTTAAGCATTACTTACGTTTCAGTTTGTTCTGTTTTATATTCAAAAACAGTGAAAAGTTATATATTCATAACACTGGATAGGGTATTTAATAAAGAGTTCAAAAAAACTTGACCTCTATAAATTATATAAATCAGTCCTGATTTCCATGCTTAGAATCATTTCTAAATGAAAATTTACGGTGTTATTTTTTTCAGGTCTATCGCTGATTATGTTCTACATAATTATAGCGGCAAATGCTACATATGGATTATCTGTAAGTTTCCAATTTTAAACTTGTCATAGTCAAATTTGAAACAGTAAATAATTCAAAGTAGAAATACTGTCATGGAAGCAGTACAGCTAACGTAGAATAATATTCACGAAATTAAACAAGGAAGTTCGTTTTTGTCAAAGACCAGTTCTCCCACAGCTGTTATGGTCTAATGGCCTATTTAATAGTGTTTCTGTTCGTATGCCGCAAAGTAAAAATAAGGAGAGGGATTGGGTCATTGGAAGATAACTGCGTTTTATTTTTTCTTCCTTATGTTTATTTATAAATTTTCATGAATTTGAGGTTTTACTGGAAGCAACTAATTGGCATTATATTTTGCGCCATTTACCATGGTTGGCAGGTAGTTTAGGTTGTTGTATAATCGATGTCATTGTGGTAATGCAGTACTTCTATTATGATCGATTGAATCATCAGAAAGATATAATGGAGCGTGAGGCATTATTGGAAGATGCAGATTGATGTTTCTATATTTATTAGTCTTATGTACGTTGTTTCTGTTGTTTATAACTCTCAAATCTAGACGGATACTTTTCCAAAGAGTAATGGTTCTTCCGAAATTTCGACAAAAAGTATAACAATGAATCAATGAAAAAAGCATTCATCCATAGATCAAAATGGTTTCCTTTCCACATAATTCATTCACATTACGGAAAACCCCTTTGTTTTGATTTTCATTACTCTACACATAAGAGATATCCGGCTACAGAATGCCAGTCCAGCAGTAATCTTCACAATAATCTTCAGTGTGTCTCTTACTGTTTTCGTGAGCTTGGTCTTTTGTTATGTCTATCAGTAATCCTTTTCATTATCATCTATTACATTTCCCGAACAGACCGTTCTCTTACGCTGCTTCTGTATCCAGTCGACAAAGTCTGCTGTATCTTAAATTTTGTTTTTTAGTGATTTTACATATTGTTATAAATAAATAAGCAAGCTTCGATTAATTTCCAATAACTTCTTGTACTCTTTTGCAATCGTATTCTCTCTGTTTTAACTGTGTCCTATCCTGCAGTGCTTTATCACATGTGGTTTTTCCTTTGATTTACTATCATTCAAAAGCTGGCGGTAACAAAGGATCGAAGATGCTTAGGTAGTGATGTCTGTTACATGTTTTTCCTATACCCACATTTCTGATATTTAAGCTCTCAGTTTTGTAGGAAGAACTGAATTCGTCGTTAATCAGACTTCTCTGTGAAGCCAAAGATTTATCAGGAAAAAGTGATTCCGAACCTATCGTGGAGAGATGTATCAACAGAGGAAGCGTATATGAAATCAGTGGTATCAGTGAGGGTATTTTTTCACATCGCAATAACCTATATAAAAGGAGGACAAAATGGTCAAGCCGTCGATTGTCACCACTACCGGCTTTTATCATCAGTTTGCACGACTGAATATGCCTCATCAAATGCGGCGTTCTCGCATCAGTAATGAATATTTTAGTTTTGAAATGTTTTCCGTTTTCAGTATAATTCAGATCACCATTTAGCTTTGGAAATTTCTCATGAAACCTATAGGAATGTGCGGATTTCCGGTTGAATATAGACAGTCAAGATTAAGTTGTGAGTTCTAGTCGTCGTCGACACTGATAAACATTAGTGAGAAGGCATTATGAGGATTCCGGAAGAGATGAAAAGTGTGTGGATTGACCGCTCCTCCCTACAGTTTTGTTCGTCAATGACGAAAATTCCTATGGTGCTGTCGTGAAGGTTAATTCGCAAATTGTTCACTGTACGGTTGAACAACTGCCGTAGTAATAAACGTATTCATTTTTTGCGTATTCATTTTTTTTTCAAATGTATTCGTTTTTTGCAATGTTTTTAATCACTTTGACTATCACTCAGAAACTCGCATCGTGAAATGCAATACGGGATAAAGGAGACATAGCGAGGTGCGGGTACATATGTGATAATGAGTTGTTTAAATCTCTATAGGCTTCTCCACCTTTACCTTCAATTAGAAGTCGCCAAGGCCAGTTAATTACCATTTTGGGTAATTAGTTGCCCACTAACAGTTGACGGGTGGGAAGGCGTCGTTGCATAGTGGCCACATTTTGCAATATAGGACAGTGGTCCCGACTGGTAGCTGGAAAGGGTGTACTTCGATGTTGTAGGAGGTTGGCGTCTTGGTAGTGTGCAGGAGATAGATTAGAGCGTTGGAGGGCGGGGAAGTAAATGTTAACTGAGCAGTATCGGAGATGTGAGATTTTAGTTTTAGTCCGAAAGTTGGGGAGGAGGTGTTTGTAGGTGCAGAGAGTGCACCGAGATAAAAACGAGCCAACGATCACATTTTTTCTTGTGTTTCATTTTTTCTTTTCATTCCGCTTTTATGTCTAATGGGAATGAGACGAAAACAGTGAAGCGAATTGGGAAATAAAGAGGAGGGTCTACTTTCAAACGATAATGTGTTTCAAGAATCTTATAAGTGAATGCAACTATTTATTTGAGTTCCATTCAGTTTCTATCCGTCTCATAATTGAAATATGGGGGATGTTCCGCAGTGTGTATTGTACGAACATGCCGTCGGATATGTCTTGTTCCGTGTCGCGGAATTCGAACATATCGGAACGAGCGTTCCTCAGGTATATCCAAATGAAAACATTTTTTGTAGTTTCCATTTTTCTTTTAACATTTGTTTCCTTATTATACTAATTCTTCTTTCTTCAGTTTCGCAGTCCTTTTAGCTTGTTTAATGATGATAACAATGTTTTAGGTAGAGGAGTCTATCGCTGATGTGCAACGGTTTCGTTCAATTGTTAAAATAGAAGCTTTCGAGCCTTTTAAAAATACTGAATCTGCATTGGAAAATTGCAATAGCATATCAGAAGGTAACTTATCTTTCTCCACTGACATTCATGTAGTATATGAATTCAATTTTATTTAATGATTCGGAGCAAATAGAAGACCTACTCGAGGTCTTCGCAATCCCAGCTTTTTTCTTCATTATTTTTGTAGATTTCATTTTTCGCAAATCAGTGTTCGTATTTAATTCTGTCTCTTACCGGCATAGAAAATGTTAAAATGCTGTCAGTGTTGCAAAAAGAAAAGCTATGGCTCTTTTTTAGGTCAACTCCATCCAGACTTGCTTAATTTTCTGGAGGCAAATTTGCCAAGGAAGAAAAAGAGGATGGTTACACTTGCTGTTGGTGATTCGAGATTGGCTAGCGCCATAAGTGAACAAATTACTGGCATAAAATGTCAGATTTCTGGAGTTGTGCCAGAACTTATGCGTGGAATACGCATACATTTTGAACATCTTGTCAAAGACTTACCTCATCATTCGCTTTCAAAGGCCCAGCTTTCACTTGGTCATGGTTATTCGCGGAAAAAGGCATGTATTAACACATAATGACAACACATATTTTAGGTTCAAAAGAAGGAATATATCCATCTAATTGTGGATTTTGATGGATTGTGGATTTTGATATTAAATGTTTTGAAGGTTAAATTCGATGTTCATCGAGTGGATAATATGGTTATCCAATCAATTGCACTCTTGGATCAACTTGATAAGGATATAAATCTCTTCGGGATGAGGATTCGGGAATGGTTAGTTCAGTAAAAGATATGGTTCCCGGTTCGCGTGAAAAATCTCCTTGACTTAATGTTGCAGAACTAAATTACTAGACATAAAGAATTTTATTTCCGGAAATAATAGTGCATGTAAGAAATCGGATTTACAGGTATTCATATCATTTTCCCGAGCTTTTCAAATTGGTTCCTGACCAATTTAATTATATAAAGTGTGCATCCACTATAATGGATAGAAAGAATCTTGATGATGAGGTGATCGGAAAATTGAACGGTTGGTGTTTGTGGTTTATTTCTTTTCCATATACTAAGTGCTAGTTTAAATAATTACTGCATTGTGAACATTTTACTTTTTGTGTTCGGTCGTTGGTCGTTAGATGTTCAATCATATTTCCAAATCGGAACCTCTCCATTCATCGACAAATGGAAGAGTTCGAGAAAACTTAACCATTACCCGATTTATGACCATTAAAGAAAGTTAAAAATCACCGAAGTATAATGATTCAGGATTAGAGTACTTCTGGAGTAAAGGTAATTTTCATTTGTGAAAGGAGTATTGATGAAGGTAACTGAAAACTTTGGTGTATTTTGCTTTGATTAGATGATGAGGATTATGAAAAGTCTTAATCACAAGATGTATTTCCCAAAGGCTCGAAACAAGTTATAGTGTTTGGTTTTCTGATAAATATCAGAAGCTCATGCAGGTAGTTTAGCAATGAACTGGAATGGTTCAACTGTCGTTTCCATTCACAAATATTTGTAAGGATCAAACCAAAATATTTCTAATACTTATTTTTTTTATGCTTCACATAATTGCATCACATCTAATCCGATCATATCAGTGCAGCTGGAGAAAGTGTTAGCACTGAATGTCCCAACCGTGAAATTTAAAACAAGCTTAAACTTCATAAGAGTCATTATGTGGAACTATTTTGGAAACGAAGAATTATCACTGTTTTCAGAAGTTCTGGAAGATAATGATAAAGTGGCGGAAGTAGTGGAAGCTGCACGAACATCAATGGGAATGGATATTTCTGACCTTGATTTATTTAATGTTCGTCGTTTCGCGAAACGTGTTGATGAACTAACAGTTTATCGTCAGGAACTTCACGCTTATGTTAAGGAGCGTATGCATTCATGCGCGCCATCACTTTCGGCATTAATTGGAGAACAGGTAATGGGATTTGTGACTGATTCAATTTTAATTTAGGTGGGGAAGTTTGTTTGCCATTTTAAGACAGTATAAAAGTTAGTGGACTCAATTTCTGTGGAATTGTGAATTTAAAATTCATTTCCATTTTCTGCAACTTGGTGTAATGGATTTTCGAGATCAACTTTATGATACCTAAAATCTCGTCATTTGAGTAACCCTTTAATGCTTGAAAAGTTTTGTCATAGGTTGGTGCTCGTCTAATTTCGCATGCAGGAAGTTTAACAAATTTAGCAAAATATCCAGCATCAACTGTGCAGATACTTGGAGCTGAAAAAGCGCTTTTTCGTGCACTAAAAACTAGGTGTATGTTCTTTCTTTTATTCAGCTGTAACTGTCTCGTATTATGTCTTTAAAATCATTCTGTCTACGCCTCGTTATTACTTTATTGTAGTAGTAGCTCGGTTTTATATTTGTATTTCTTTGTAAGTACCGAATTGCCTTTATATTTTGCAGCTAATACACCGAAATATGGCCTCCTCTTTCATTCTTCATATATTGGTCGTGCATCTACCAAAAATAAAGGTCGCATATCACGTTTTCTTGCCAATAAATGCACAGTGGCTTCTCGTATTGACTGTTTCTCAGAGGTACCAGTGGCTACATATGGTGAACACTTCAAACAGCAGGTTTGGCATGACATTGATCATGATAACTCTATCAGAGATTTCATCAAGAGATCCACGTTTCTGGAGTTCTGATAAAGTCTTTAAAATCAAACTTGAAATTATAGTTTTTCCATTTGGCGTGTAGTTTTGTGGGATGCTTTCTGTTCGATAAAATCAAAACGATTTGTTTAGATACATTATCTAACATTTCTTTATATAATTGCTTTAAATCGTTAGGTAGAAGATCGTTTGAAATTTCTGGAAAGCGGTATAATTCCAAAAAAAAATTTGGATGTAATGAAAGAAGCGATTGAAGAAGCAGCTACTGTAAAAATAAAGGTTAGGCCATGTTTATTCTTTGGTAGAAAGGTGTCGTTTAAAAAATCACAGGGAGGTTTTTTCATGAAATTGACTTGTAAGAGTTTGTTTGGATTTTATTCATAGATTCTGAAAAAAAGGAAGAAAGAGGCGAAAAGGGCCAAAAGAGCAGCTGAGCAACAAGCAAATGATAGTTTTGATACAACCCAAGGGTCGAAACCAGATGCCGATGCAATGGAATTAGATGAAGGAATTGTTAAAGAGGTACAGAGACATTGTTACTCTATTTGTAGCTTTAAGTTTCGAGATTTTGTCTAATTCTTCAAGCGTGATTGTAAGTTGTAAGTTTTCAAAAGTTGCTGGATGTTTTGAGATTGGTTTGTGCGGAATGTTTCAAAGAGGATATCGATTTTAATTCTTTTTGGACAATATCCAAATGGGGACCAGCTGTTTAGTACGTGGAAAATTTTTATTGTACTTTTAAATGGATGAGTCCTGGCATGTGAAGGTTTTGAGGCCCTAATTTGTCACTTTGCAGAAAGCCAAGAGGCCAAAGTTGGTGTCACATGATGAAAGTATGAATGGTGAACACAAAATTCATAATGATGGGGATATCACGAACAGTAGACGACACAAGAAGAAAAAGAAAAGAGAAAGTTCAAATGCAATGGATGAGACTAAGCACATGGAAGAAAACGGCGGTTAGTTTTGTCTCTCTATATTTTTTTAAAGCTTAATTTATATTTATTAATGGATTATGCGGATATTTTTTGCTGTGCCGCAGCTGGCAGCGGTATGAGTTAGTTTTTTTCTGGGTAATATTGGATAATTAGCCTCCACAATCGCTATAAATGAGGTAATGGAACTAAATTAATTGATCACATTTAGTAATATCATGGAAAGTTGAAGTGGTTTTATCCGTATTGTAGTATGCGGTTGGGAAGTCTGTGCTGTACGTATTGCTTTATGGAAAAGAAATGCTTTTTTAGGAGTGATGAATGGAGAAGGCAGTTCAAAGAAGATGAAGAAGTTAATGAAGAAAAATGACTCGGAAATAACAGAAAGTGGTGATGATTTTGCTTGAACATTCTGAGGGAACATATTCAATTTTAAACGAATAAGGCGATCAAAAAAGAAGAAATGGAATCATATTTGAATACACTGGTCTCTTCTTGTATGTGTTGTTAATTTTTCTTCCTTTCAGTGTTAATTTTTTTCCGGCTTTGAAGTTGTTTTTCTTAAATTTTAGAAATACAGATGTGTAAAATTTATTCTGTAAGGAATAATCAAAATTTAGACTGCTTCTTTGAAAACTGGGGTTCTTTTCCGAAGATTGATTTGGTGCACAAGTTGGGTTTTAATTAATTTTGATTTGCTTGAAATTGATATCTGAAAGAAGTTTTTCATAATATCCAGGAAATTGGAAAAATTTGTCCGAAGTTATAAAATGTATCTTATTCAGAAGGAGTTGTATTTTGCAAACTGTTTTCATTTCAAGATCAGGAAGTAAATTTGTTGGAGATTGTCCATTGACACTGTATTCGCTTTTGTGTTTACCAGGAAAATAAGATAGGGTCATTTAATATGGATCTTGTAAGGCAGTGGTTTTATCTATTTCTGGTTTATACGGATTTAACTGACCGGACTTAGGTGGGGCACTGCAGTGAAGCTTACCGAAGGATAGACCTAAATATGTTTGCAACTCATTTTTCAAACAGTTGCTTCTTGCTTAGTTGTGTAATAATAACAGATGTTAAGATTTGACCCTAAAAGTATATTTGCATCCCATAAAATAACTATGAGATAGGTGTATTGTATTCAGGCAGATTTTTCCTGGGATGACAAATGGGAAGTTGAATCAATGGATCTTTGAAACTGAAGTGAACATCAATCGTTTCTAATTGTTCGCGATATTCTTCAGGGCGCGCAGAAATCTCTGTTGATATGTTGATTCTAGTGAGAGTAAGACTCAGACGCTGATAGTTTTGATGCAAATAACATGTTGTTGTTTTTTAGGATAGTTGTTTAATCTGCCAACTAGTGATTTCATTTGGTACGATACTTTGTTTTATTTGTATAGAGATTTAGGGGGGTTTTGCCGTTTTGATGTGACATTTCTGTGAAGGATAGATTAGGCTGAGTGGAAGGAGGAGGGAGGTGTATTAGTGTAATATATTCAGATGTTGATTGTTTTCTGGCTCGATGAGGGTCTTTCCGGTGCGAGAGCTAGTCTTCCTGACGGAAACAAATGACGTGTTATCTGCAGTTCTTTAAAAACTTTTAAACTATTTTTGTTGCTTCGTTCCTTGCTCATCTTATGAGAAGTGATGTAAGTATGGTACTGTGGTTTTGAGCTCTACTACTACCATTTTTGTACGATGTAAATGAGTTTTAAACGCATTTCCTGGCTAAGATGATGACTTATGGACACTGGAACTCCAATAGTAGTCGCCTTTTCTACGGCCACTTCTTAGGCTCATATGCTAAGGATCGATACTGCAATGGCTTCTGATATTTAGCAGAACGCACGCACGCATATATAAACATACATGTGTGCACAATCCGCATCTGCAACAGACGAAGAAGAATGTAAGTTTACTTAGACTAACATTTTTTCCAGCTCTTCCATTGCAGTTATCTTTTTGTTACTGTAATGTTTTCTTTTGTCAAATTTCTTCAAGTATTCAAAATTCATTATAGCCCGCAGAAGTAAATAATTTGATTTTGGTTCATTTTCTTTCTGAAGGTATACATTGTGGGTAAGCGGTGTATTCGGTGATATCTCTTCAGTTCACATCCTTTACCTTTGAGTTTCACAGCCTAGTTGTTCGCTTTCTTAATACTCTTTTACCTAATTACTTATTTTATTTGAACTTTTCTCATGAAAATAAACTGTTACTAGGTAAGGCAGACTAATCACGACAGAATTAGTAAAGCTTTCTAGCTACCCAAAGAGGTATAATCATCATATGCCCGATATCTGGAATTAAGATATGTGGAAGAGACTTCATCGTTAATCTAATTACTTAATCATAACTAATAGCATGCAAGAATATAAATATAGCGAATGAAAGTTTGCGTTTAAGTGGGGGAGATTGCGGATCAACTAGAATCGGCAATCATGGATGGAAGTTGAAAAATGTAAGCTTTAGAGGAATTTTATAGAGCAGTAAACGCTAAACAATATTGAATAATTCGAGAAAATTATAGATCCATATTTGCAGCGGAAAGCGTACGTTTATAGAAAAGGATAGCTCGAACCCTGTCAGGTCAGGATAAGATATAAGTCGTTGTGGAGGAGTGTACAAAAGAGCTATCTCAGTTAGTTACATTTTTTTTTCCCAAATTCTTCAAGCAGTGCTTTTTCCATCTCACATAAACATTTGGCTTGTAACATTCATTTCATTGTAAACTTCTTTAGCCCAAGTATCTGCATGCATTTAAGTTCCAACTTAAAGTAATACTCTTAAGTGTCCAATAACATGTTTTCTCCCTTTGTTATAGTTTGAGTAAATGCAGTTGGCATTTCATGAAACACTGCTTTTCAGCAGTAACCTTGAGGCATAAGTAGTCCGGTCGAAGAATAGCAGCATTTCTGAGTGATTAAAATTACAAATAAAACAAATAACTCTGGCCCGATTTGGACGTTATGGCTGCCCAGTCGGTAAATATATGTTGGTTTATTTCATTATTTTACAAGTTGCTAGCGAGAAAGAAGATTTTCGACGTAGGCTTTTGGCTCACAAGCCTTACTTTGTTGCATTATTACTCAGTAAAAGCATTATTACTCTATAATAGCTCATATAATGGTATTCCATCATTTTCGAAAAGGGCTTCCAATAACAGCAACTTAAAAGGGAATGCATAAACCAGAGATCTACACCAAGAGATTCCTTCGACTGATTTGTAGGTTTTCAAACATCTTTGGTTGAAAAATTCTTAATGAAACACAGAAATCAGCGGTAGACATATTCCTAAGCATTGTTCACTTGAACATGTACTCTTAACAACAATTTTTGCATTGCTATAGAAGAGCAGTGCTATAATGCATCACAATTTCTATCACGCTTAGGATCATATTTTTAAATTTGAACTGATTTTTGAGAGCGGCCGAATACCAGCAGAGCACACATCAGATTATCGAGTTGCTGTATTTGGTGCCGGTGGCGTTGGCAAATCATCCATTGTGCTACGCTTTATTAAGGGAACATTCAGTGAAAACTACATTCCTACTATTGAGGATACTTTTCGACAGGCTGGTTTTTTTTATAATACATTGTTGCTGTGGTCAGTGACTTATGAATAGGAAGTCAATTTTAATTTATCTGAATAAAATCTATGCGAATTTTACAGTCCTACTTGAGCGCCAAAAGTTTTGAAGTTGTGGATACATTAGAAGTGGAAACTGTATACATATTAAAAGGACCTCTAATCGCAATATGGATTTTATTTACGTTTAAGTAAGATTATTCATCAGTTCCATGGAACCCTTTCTTTAGATAATTGCTTTCAATTCAACTGTTAACGGTGATAGTGACATCATCTGCTTAGTTAAGCATCTTAACTTGCTTTGCTTCGCTGCAATCAGATGGATGAGCTGGACTTTGGGATGATGGATCATCAGTGGTGATCGATCTATCTTGTCTTTTTAAACTCATTTCTACTTTCCCTTCCTTAATATTAATATTCGAATTTGAATAATGTTCGAGGCAAAATTTGTTTCTGTAAAGCGCTGAAACAGAAAAAAGGAAATCTTCGTTTCTGTTCATTCAGCAAAGAAAAGGGAATTAGAAATTCTTTACTAAATACAATCTGCAAAAACTGAATGAGAGACTTTATGAGGTTATGTGTAGATCTTGTTTAAGGACGTAGATAAGGAATGCTTGGAAAGAACTAAAGACAGTTCGTTGAAAGAATACTTTTAATAGCCTGGTTTAGATTAAATTAACATTTTGAAGTTTTGCTTTTGTGGCTTACATCCGAATTTATTATGATTGAAGAAAAGGCGCAGATTTAAAATATTGGTTTATTTTTCTCATATCCAGTATTTTCTTTCTACGAACAGTGTTCACGACAAATTGTTATCTTGACAAGTTGTTGCCATGTTATCATTGGACGAAGAGATCGTATTTTGAAGGTGTGGGAAACGTTAAGCTTTGAACTATATTTTTAAATTATTTCAGCCGAAAGTAAGTATCAGTGAGAGATATTATTCCAGGTGATAAGCTGTAATCATAAGAATGTATGTACATTACAAATCACCGATACAACAGGCAGCCATCAATTTCCTGCTATGCAACGACTTTCGATTAGCAAAGGAAATGCTTTTGTACTGGTGTATTCTATTACAAGGTTATTCTTTACTTGTTTTCAAAAATTCCGTTTTCTCTGATTTTATAGATTGTTATAATTTGCAATGTTATTTGCGCAGATAATGCTTCAGTTACCTATTACTGGAATAAGGAAGGCACTGCCATTACGAAAGGTTTTTGTGGTGACATTATAACGTAGGACTGTTACGTATTCCAACATTTGAGTTTTCAGCAAGCAAAGTTTAGAGGAGCTTGGACCCATAATACTGATGCTAAAGGAAGTGAAAGGTGAAAGTATTACTGAAGTGCCTATTATGCTTGTTGGCAACAAAAAAGATGAAGATCAGGTAATCTGTCCTGCAGTTTTTCTCGCTAAGCTAGTTTCAGGAAAAAATGTGTTTCTCATTTGCTTAAATTATATACCCATGATTGAAAAAAAGTTGGAAATATCTACTATGGTGGATTTAGGAGTCGAAAAATCGTTGAAAAGTTCTAGCCTTTGTGATATACTCATACAAGATAAAGATTAATTTGAGCCGAAGATTTTACGTTCAAAAATGTAAGAATATGATGAAATTCTAAATTAGCGGGACGATCTAGCAATCGCAGTGTGTAATTACTTTGTTAGTGGGGAAAAAAACGACCTATCGCAATCTTACAAATGCTATTTATTTCTATTAAAAGGAAGAATGGAAGATTTCTGCTGTTCAGATTTGATTTATTTTATTTTAATTCTGAATGAAGTATATAATTTCCAGCGGCGTGAAGTGAGCTCCGAACTTGGACAAAAGTTGGCCTCGAAATGGGGGACTGATTTCATCGAAACTAGTGCCAAAGATAATGAAAATATAACGGAATTATTTCAACGCCTGTTGGCGATGGAAAGAAAACGAACTTTAGCATTAACAATGAATGAAGAGAGCGGTAAAAGTGGCTCAAAAAGGAAATGCTCGCTGATGTGATTGTTTTAATCATCTGGAAAATCATTAAGTTTCTGAATAATTTTAGATTTAAATATTTGAGAAGTTTCTCTGTTGAGAAATTGCAATTGTTGTTCTATAGTCGATGCTGGCTGGAAAAATCACTTTTTTCTATATTTGTTCAAGCAAGTAAAACATATAGGATTTTCTTTGGTGCTCGAAACTGTATTCCTCTTCCGTTCCTATTTATATTTATTACCTGTTTTCTGTATTTCGTTAACCTTACGTATATAGCTTTGTATTATATTATCATTATACTGGTTTTTTTTTTCGTTAGTTTCTCCGATCGATTAACCTTCTCTTTAGTTCCTTCAAAATGAAGTTAATGTTAACGTCATTTGCGATACTACCACTCTCCCAACTTTTTTCAGCTGAATTTAATTTGATAAATAATAAGGCCCGGTTCAGTCTAGATCGGATGAACCAGTTAGATTCATTTTGTGACGATGATTAGTATCATGACACTTACTACCGATGTGAATATAAATTTAATCTTCGTAAGTTCTACATTACAGTTATATGTCTCGTTTTCTTTTCATCAATTCAGATTGAGAAAGCTGATGATGAAGGCCGTAGCACTAGGCATGCAATCCAGCTTGCATGGACTTTAATCATTATCTGTAGTTTCATCTGAAAATAAACACGACAAATGGTCTCCGCTCCTTGATCACATTAGACGTTCATAACAATTAACTGCAGGCAAATCTCGAAAATCACCTCAGGTAGGTACAAAGGAACTAAAGCAGTTCGGAGTAAGGCCATCTTTTCCCCACGTATTTCATCGCTTTTAAGCAGCTTTTATTTTCATCTCTTACTGTTACTTTAACCTTTTATTTAACAGCTAAGCACTTCCCGGCCTAACGTACCTTGCTAAATCCGAAAACACCTTCTGTTCTATATATTTGAGTCAGTTAATACCAAATATGTGCTCCATAAATATTATATTGAAGAATTAAACTTCCTCAAAGTATTGGGAATATGTAATCTGTAATGTCAACACCGCACTTACAATATATAACTGGACTAATTTTATGGAACGATCCTTCAGAAATCTCTTAGACAACAGAAAATCTCAAAGCAGTTCATCACAAAAATTGTAGCTCTTTAGAGACATAACATAAATTATATTTTATTCTCCTTCTTTCCATCACGATTTGCACACAAAATAAGAATTTGGTCCGATAATGATAACGTGTGAAAAGGAAAGACTAATATTAGACAGAATGGAAACAGCAATCACTTAAGCAATGATAAGCGTTAAAGGGTACATTTCACCTTACCAAAATATATCATGCACAGTTCATACATCATTTCCGAACATCCCACATCCAGCAATTTCATAATCACTCTCAAAATTAAAAACTTACTGAAGCGAAAAGGAAATGGAAATATGCATTGAGATCAACAGTACTTAGGGTTTTACGTAATGAAATTGCAAATCATGGAAAGATGTAGTGCCCATCTTTTCTGAAAAATGGGACTGGATTGAACATAGAGTCTGCAAGAAAAATAATTACACCAATTAAGAAGGAAATACGGATGTTTACTTCTCAAAAATTTGCTACCAAAACAGATTACGACAGAGGAGAAATAAATCCTATATATTATATGTACACTTTAAAGTACAAACTGCTTATGGCTTCGTTGTTAAAGATCAAGAATTTTTTTAAATGTTTTAAACTGCTAGGAAGCAGATAGTGTGGCATTTCCTGCATTTGGAAATTTGACTTCCTTCTTTTAAGGTAAGGGAAGATAGCAAACAGAAAGCACTTGAGTCAAGGAAACAACCTCAGTATTCCACGGATTTCAAACTCAAGTTGATTTCTGCGACGCGAGATTTTCTTGGGTATTTTATATTCTGGGCGAAACAAAATAATTTTCACGAATAAATCTAGAATCCAGAGAAAATTAACCACCAAAATGTATTAGAAGATCTGAAAAACGATACAGCAAATGTTGTAGTAATCCAAAATACATAAAAACCCTACCAAATGCTTACAAATGGAAGAAATGTTCATTGTTCGTGCAAATTAGTTATTCTTCTTGAAAATCCCTTCCTCTTTCTCGTTCACCATTTCCACCACCAGCATTACCGCCAAAACGTAATCGTCCACCAGCTAACAGTTGCCGAAAAAGAATTGTAGCATACACCAAAACAACAAATGCAATAAAAATATCATCCACCATACCAAGTACACCGAACGCTGCTTCCGGTAGTATATCAAACGGACTCAAAATATAGATGGCCATACCGAAAAGACATAAAAAGACACGAATCCGAAACATAAACATCAATCCGTTGACTGAAACTGCAGCACGAAACATATATGGGACTAATATAGGTAAATCCCGAATGTAATCAATAATCTGAAAAAATGCATGGTGAGTTTGATGAAATATTAGTAGTAATAAGTCGAGAGATGTTGGTAATTTAGAAAGAAATTTTATCTTTCGATATCTCGCTAACAAAAGGAAATTTATTATATTGATTACTCCGTATATTCGTGATGTTCATTCTTTCCACAGAACATACATTTTGATAAAATAGATTGTAAGACTATGAGGTGAATTATTCAAGAAACAGTATGGATTATGAATATAAAGAACATGAAAAAAAAAATGATATTGAATCATGTCTTTGTTCCTATGTAAAATGTGTCCATGCAGTAATATTGCTAAATCGCACAGCAAACAAGACATGTTATTTTGCTGATATGTATTTGACCAGTCGTTTCAAAAAACTCTTTAACCTATTCAGTTACCACAAACAAAATTAAGTTAAAAATAAGAAACAAACTCACTGGTCTTCTTTCATTGGAAAACCTTCGATTATAGTCGGTTAATCGTTCATCACATCGTAGTGCTTCATCAGCACTACTTTCTCTTTCACCTTCTACTGGTAAAGGAATCAGCAAATTAACCTGCAATGTAAGTAAAATTCCACAAATGACCACGAAATAATTTATCTCAGAAAACTGCTAGTTTAGAAAATTATTATTAAAGAATATGAAAAAATTGTACTGCAAATAAAATTGCCAAAACATACAGTTTCTCTACACACTGCGCATTTTACAGGTGTAATCAAAGAAGCACTGTACTGCCAGTACCCATAAATGCAACTACCTGCAAAATTACACAAAAAAATTTCGAAACTTTTATCAAATTTCCATATTCTGTCCAGACAATAAGTGAAAAGTCAGAATCAAACCCTGCCTTTCACAACACAATTCATAATCACTGATTCAGAACTTTAAAAGAATGATGTGATGAATCAAGTGGACACGTCTAAGAACTCACAACAAAATAGGTGGCCGCAGTTTGTCACAACAGCGAATGAAGCTTGGCCAAAACATATTGGACAAGTACGATCATCTCCAAACCGTCGCAGCGCTCTCGGGCTATTCTAAAGCCCAAAAAATAAATAGACTGATGAAAGTTACCATAACTGTCTCAACAACTAATAGTATGCATTTTTGTCGTAATTTCTGGAATAATCTATGTCAGTCAAAATAAAAACATTTTAAGAGAAGCTATAAGAACATACGCCATTTGTACCAGATTGCGATTCTTCTGTTTGTGTACCACCCGAGAATGCACGTCTGAATTCAGCTACAGCCGATTCCAGAGTAGGATGAATATTCCTTTCTTGACGTCTAAAAACAGATTAGAATTTATATGAAAACTAGCACCGATCAGTTTTGTTTCCTGCAGAAGATAAAAGTAAGCATTCTGTAATAAGACAGAAACTGTTAGATTCAAACATCTGGGAGTAAAAGAAGGTAAAACAAAAAGCATAATGTGCAACATTAAAATTACGATGAAAACAAAGAGAGACTTACTCTTGCCGACAGTATGCAAAACAGACCACGCCAATAAGAGCACATAGAAACGTAAACATCACAATGATTTCATTGTCGAAACCGGAAAGAAGTACATTTTACATAAAGTTAAAACCAATTTCCATTCAACTAAATAGACCCGCACATTTCAAGTTCCAAGGAAAAAGTTAACTTCCTTCATCAACATACACACTGAATATAAAACAATCCTTACTCCCACTCCTATCCCAAGGATAAGAGAATACATGACGGCAGTATTATAAGACCGCAGCACATAATTACCTGTTTGGATTTCTTTTGAAACATGACTTGAGAACTTACTGATTTGGTTTTATATTTAACCAGATGTAGAAGGAAGGATTTACCTTCAATGAACTGGAGTTCGGCAATACCAGCATGCACCATCACCACTTTCATCAATTCCAGTAAGATAGCGTTCCGGTGACACATTGATGAAATGGAATAATTATCATCACGAACACTGCCTATTTTCAGCTTAAAATGCTCACCTGCAAATAATCTGACAAAATTTCAACACTTCCGATGTTTACACTTTTTCGGCATCCATTTGTTTATATGTACTCACAAAACATTAAAGATTAAATGTTGTTCCAGTGTTGACAATTTCTACCATTTTGCATCCCTCACAACTTGATAGAAAATAACAAAAAATAATTAATCAAAAGTGATCATAATAAACTCCACTTCCCAGCTTAGATGGAAATCAACTGAACATCATCCTGTCAAAGCGCTGTTTGAATGCTGGTTAGATACTATTAAAGCAGAAGGAAGATAGGCTCTACAAGTTCGAAGCACCAACAATCCACATACTTATCACAATATCATCAGAAAGTTACATGTACATAACATGACATGATAGCCCGCATCCTAAACATGGTGTTCAAGAAAAGACGTTTTGTCGCTACACGCTGTTTCTGTCTTACCCTTGCTCTCGTTACGATCGTGTTGTTTTTGTTTTATGCGCTACACACACTGTCCAACTGGAGAGGTGGAATATTTGGGAGTGGAGAAGAATGCTTCCCTGAGGAGAAGTTCTCAGGACCGATTCAATCCACTGACCGTTATATTTTATCTTTTATCCTGTTATTTCTTGTCTTTGGCACGGCTATCCCACTATTCATTCGGAGTTTAAATTGCAATTAGACCAAAAAGAGTTTGATATATTGATTGGTGCAGTGACTAGAAGAATATGACAAAAACTCACATCCGTAAGCAATGTCACAAGTAAATGTGAAATGATAGGAAGAAATCCATTAAAATCAGCACTACTTTATCCAATGAAATTCGATACACAGTTTAAAATAATTTAACAACTTAATTATATTTATGAGGAATGTTAATTACTTAACATGTTCTCTATAGACGAAGAGATAAGGGGAACTCTTCGCATAGGCAGAACTTTAAAATTTTCCGGAGAAAAGTACACTGCCCTCACTTATCAAGTGGACTTTAATCGTCAAGTTGCGTACTATACTGACACCTCCAGACATTTCTTCGATTTTCCGGAAGCAGTCTTAAATGCAGCCAATTCTTGACACCCTTTCATGATGAACGCAGCTCTAGAAGGTCCACAGTTCTTAGAAATAAAGAATTATTGTATCTAGTCTTCAGAAGTTAATCACCTGTTCAATGCATCTTAATTCCTTTAAAATAAGCACTAGTAGTTGCTTTACAATAAATTTTTCTTATGAAGCCCGTTAACTTAAAGAAAAAGTAAACAAGCGAAGATGAAATATCTACATCTTCTCATTTCCTTGCGTTTACATGATCTCTCCATCACTTAGTCTACCTCATTTTATTACCACTATTACTATTATCATACACTACTATATTAGTTTTATCCTATTTCGCGTTATTGTCTTATTCTTCCACTTTTTTTATTATTGTTTTATTCCATCTTTTCTTTCATTCCATCTTATCCACTCATTTGAAACAAAGGAAACTGAACTCTCACAGGTCAGAAACAAATGATAAATGTTTCTGATGAGTAAATCAAAAAATTATTAAAGCTGCCTCTTCTATTATACTTTTAAATTGCAACATATTTCACCAAAATTCATCCATATTAACTAAGTGCTAGTTTAAACTTATTTCTTTAGCAAATTATATAACACACTTATGTAATTTAGTATTAGTCAGGAGAAGAGGAATTATCTCCGTTCAACTAAAACAGAATCAGAAAGAAATTCGGACTTGACCAGGAGGTCTTGACCTCACTGTTTCTATATGGTGCTTTAGTTTATGCTAGTGTCTAAAGCAAAGAGTTCGTTCGGTAATCGTAACACGTTGATCAACGAAAAATGAACAATGAGCAGCACTTTACACATTAGTGGCAATGAATGAGTGAGCAGAGCTTGCTCCCAACCAACGAGTGTATTTCTGAATTATTATACCAGAATGAAAATTACAACACGAAAAAACAATTTGTGAAGAAACTACTAAATGTAAGCAAAGTTGGTTCGACTGGACTTATAAACAGTTCATTTCGCATATATCGATACCATACGAGGTACAACGACAAAATCCCCAAGATGATAATTTGGAATTTACCTAAAATGAAAAGTTTTACTTGAGAAAAGTGAGTCTAAAATCAACAGCAAGTAAAGAACAACAACCAGGCTGCAGTAGCTAACATGCTCATAGAAGCATAAATTTTAGGAAACTTTACATCTTCTCTTTCTACAAAGCAAAGGATTCCTTCAGGGTAAAACTGTAGCAAAATAATACCAACGATTTCTTTTGACATTGTCAAATAAAAAAAGTGTATATTCATCGAGTCCTACCTACAGAATACAGTAGTAGCATTGAAATGACTGTTTTCGACTAACAACATTTTAGCTGTTTCAAACGCATAAATCTTCTGTAAATGTGAATTACATTTATGCTGTTCTATAACCGGCAGTAGCATAAAAAACCACCTACATGAGATACAAATTACTAGTCAAAAATTAGTCGTGTCTTGTTGATTCTAATTTGTCTTTTGCTTCGTTAATTTTTGCAGCCAAATAGGGTGAACCACCGCGATCAGGATGATTGGCAATCATTATACGTTTATGCGCTTCCTTCACTTTTGATGCTGGAGCACTGGGTGAAACACCAAGGACTAATGCAGCTTCACGACGTGTCATAACGGGCTCGAAACCACCACGATAGTATTTTGACATATTATTTGCAATAGGCAATGTTTTGGCCATTTTCAGGAACGTTGCACGATTTCGCAGCATCATACGCCCAGCTAGTCCAATGGCTACCATACTAACGCCACCAATGATAAGCGCAGATGACATTCTTAGATTCTGTCAAATTTCAAAATTATACCGTTATTTTCACTGAAAATATCTTCTATTTTCCCAACTATTAAGGCTCTACCGCTGTAAAGAAGTCTTCCCGTTGCCATCAACCAAAAATTTAGCCTGTCGAACTTCCAAAATCAATCTCTTCAAAGATAATTTAGAAAAAAAGTCCCTATATATAATTAACAATACCATTCCTGAGGAGGAAGAATGTCTTACAGAAGATATAAAAGACTGATCCCCACTTACTTCTTATTCAGAATCAGTAATGTTATGCAAATTTAAACAGCTGTCGTACAAAACTCAACTCTTAAACAAAATGATTTTTAAAGCTCATTAGAGACAACAATAACAAAAGTAAAACAAATAAATAAAAAGGAGAACAAATCACAGTAAATGAAAGATCTGGCACATAGAAGGAAGATAACAAACTGGAAATAAGTCGTAAATTTTAAACCATCACAAAGTATTAAGAAATTTAAACCCCTAAAAAATATAATTTTAAGCAAGAAATCACTATACTGTCAAAGATTCAACCAGAAAAGACTTTCTAGAGCTCGTTTTCCAATGGATTATCCAATAATTTGATAATGAATGAAGTACTTTTTACCAACTTTTAGTATTTCTTATTAACTTTGAAATTTTATGAAAATTACATGAGAAATAGAATAAAACAGCAACAAAACAGTTGTTCACAAAAATGAACAATGTGGGATTATCTAATATAAATTAAGGGCTACCAGTTCAGTTCAAATAAATTGCATGCCGCAATTATTTGATAATCGTCAGAATGCTAGAAAACCTATTAACCTCTAATCTAACCTATTAAGTCCCACTCAGTCTATCTCCCTTTCTCCTTTTTCCGGGCACCATGAATTATTTTGTTTCCCTTTTTTCTTTGCTTCCACCTCCCTGAATTTTTGGCTGCTCCCAGAAATCTTTGCGTCATTTCCGAATGTTCCTGAGGTTCTATTTCCGCCAATTTCGCAATACGTTGAACAGTTCCTGACAAGTCTCTCATTTCCCTTTGGTTGCCTCTTTTTTAGCCACTTCTTCCCCAGAACTTTCGTGACTTTTTCTAAAACAAACAGTACACTGCGTGCTAAAACTTTCATTCCTAGCCAAGCATTTTCTTTGATTTCTCAATTCATATCCTAACAGTTCAGTTAGCTCTTTCTAATAAAACCGTAGTTTTTGCTAGGTTTCTTCCATGACTGCTCTTTTCACCCACTTTCCACGTTTCCTTATCAACCACCAACCATTTAACTAGACATTACAAAACATTTAAAACATCAGATCTCTCTTTATCTGATTCCGTTTGTTTCGTTTCATTCAGTACACACCGCACTTCTGTTCCATTTTTAAAAATGTTAGGAGAGTTTCCTTTCCTCACAATTTCAATTTTAATTCGCCGTATGAAAATCAATAATATCGGTATTCAGTTTTCTCGTAACTTTTTCCACATTTAGCACGGACTGACCACAACGCGGTGTAACTCGAACCCCAACTGCTTCCAACACTTCAGTTAACTTCCGAGAATAATCCATATGGCCTTTTATCTACAAAAGAAAATGAATTACAAAGTCACAGTAATGTGCTATTTGCAATATTTAACTATGTATTTTTTAATCAAGTGCTTTACGTAAAAGAAATTGTATTAAATTGTCGTAAAATTTTTTGAAAAGAATGAACGAACTAAGTGAGAGAGATTGAAATTGACAATTTTCTTTTCCATTTTGCATATGACAGGACCGGTGCCAGCAATCGTAAATTGCACACTCATTGCACGGTAAATAAACCTGCAAAGTTAACAATTATGCCAAATATAGAATTCAAAAACAAATACAAAGTCCATGCACATTTCAGGAACTTCGACAGCTAAATTCATATGAAAAAACATGTGTAATTTTGTTACAAAAAGTGAACTAAATTAAAAGATTCAAATTTATAATCATGTTTTCCTTCTTGCATCCTAAAGGATTAGAAAAAAATGAAGGGATAAAAAAAACTTCATAGGAAAACCTGACCTCAGTAACCAGTCACTGTTACAATAACCATTTATAATTCGTCCTCCAACAATTCGACTTATCTGATGCCATTGAATAGGCGAAGCTGTTACAGGCGCGCCAAGAAGTACCACGTCATTAACTATTCCTGGAATCCTTTTTCAAATTTTACATCAATATGAGTATGGAAAAAAAAACATGACACTTAAGTGACGAGAAAAAGTTCTCCAGCCTACATTCAGCAATATCAGTATCTTTTTAAAAAGTATTAGTTTTTAAAATCTATAACCAATTTGATCCGTAAAAACTCACCATAGCAAGAAATGCGTTTGGTCATGGCCATTAAGCAATGGAAAATTACGCGTGCTCCAAGTGAAAATCCTATCAAGGTAATAGGACGATTACCATGCGCACGACTTAGCAATACTTCGGCTAATTGTTCGCCAACCTAAAAATTACATATCTTCTGGTAACTGATCTGAATTTTTCAGAAGTGGTGACTTAATTTGCCTCAGTGATTGTCCCTAAAATTTTAAAAGATGTGGTCTGTCAAAGTGTGATCTTAAATGCTGGATGAAAATAACTTGCTCCTGCGGAAAATATAAACTGTAAGGATTCATACCTCGGCAGCTCGCCTTACGCAAACATTCCATGGGTTATCGATTACACTGGACACAGAAAGAAGCGCCGCTGGCCAAGCAACCGCAGCAACTAAACCTACAATGGTTTTTCTTTACCTGCGGTTTCAAGAAAAAATTGAAGACAGAACAAGAAAGACCAACTTGAAAATTCTAGAACAGAATAAAAAATCCTTTAACAAATGGCAATAAGAAGATCAGTATAGAAAAAAAAAAATACCAGCAAGCCCAGTTTCCAAAAGAGTATGTTGAACAGCAAGCGATACTGCAAAAGACGTCAAATAATCAATTGCTCGTCCTAGTTCTGCCAAATATTTACTTTCATAACGCAAGACATACTGTTCGCGCGACATCCATAAATGCCGCCACTGCTGTTGAAAAACACGTTCTCCTTGCTGAAACAAAGAAATTCTTCAAAACTTCACTGAAATGTGAACAAAACTACAACTGTAACCGCCTCTACCAACCAACGGAAGCAATTAATTAATGTTAGTTAGATCCAAAGCTGATAACTATTATGGCAGTAATGGTCGCCAAGTAAAAAGGATAACTTCCTAATTTAAGATCATAAGTTTCAAAATTCAGAGGCAAGCGACATAACTCCAAAATAAAAAGACATTATGTCGCAGAAACCTTACAAAAGCATATCTTAAAGCATATCTCAGCAATATCTTGCGTCAAAACCAATTTTCAACAATTCAGAACGACAAGATGGTAGTATCATCATCTTGTTTCGAAATGAGTAAAATCTTTTTTATTTCAATTTAATTTTAGAAAGTAGAACCAAATAAAACCATGAATTCGTTTTCAGCTATCAGAAAACTGTGATCATTTGAGAAAAGAGTTACAAATTTACATCTTCAATCCATCCACTAACTGCCAAAATACAATGCAAACTTTGTCCTTCAGAAACCGGCTGAATTACAAACTCTTCGATTGCACCTACTCGTTTCCGCATTTTGTAACCTGAGAGACAGAAATATTAAACCACAGTGAAGTTCACTGAAAAGAAATTTCAAGTTAACATGTCAGCACTGGAAATTCCGCTTTCGACGGTTCCAGTCTTAAAAACAAATATGGAATAATATATGGTAGACTCGAAATTCCAGTGAAGTATGAATAAAGCCAAAAATTTCTGAAGATCAAGTTCCACTTTTTCAACAGAGTTCCAAATCGTTTAGAAACTGTTAGCACACGAAGGATATAAAAAATTCAAAAGCCGATGAAACGAGTATTTTATATAATCTGTGGATCAAGGAAACTTATAACTAAAAACGATGGGACCCTTTTCCGCGTTGCAATGAACATTCGCAACACAACTCCTCTAATTAATGTCGTATCATGAAAAAAAATTTACGATCAATTTGCTTCAAAAGACTTGCCTGTTAACCCCGCGCCAGCTATTCCAAATAACGACCCAAGTACAGTAGCGCCCGCTGCTGTTCCAATACCTGCTGCTGCTCCAGCACCTATTATGGCTCCTGCACCAACTGCTACCAATGGTGCTGCTAGGCCAGCCGTTATTCCTAAAATCCGGAAATTATAATACAACATGTGAAACTTTTGAAAGATATGAAGATAACGTTAGTTAAATTTTACCTAATAAAAAACCACCAACACTACTCGCTGTTCCAATCATAACATATCGTTTAATTTTTTTCAGTTTCGCAACTCTAGCTCTTACCATTCTTTGTTCTCTGAAAAGAAAAAAGCAATTTGTGTTCTCTGATCCAAGTAAAATACTACGTCCTCATGCAACAAATAATCTTACAGTACAGTGTGTTCCCCTAATCTCAAATGCAGGATATTCCGGAATTATTTCGACCATTTTTTTTTAAAATAATATTATAAGCAAAGAACATCAAGTCTTATTAACGGATATACAACTTTTTGATTATAAAAAATGTCCATGCATTTCACTATCAAAATTTTACAATTACCAATTTTAAGACCATTACTCCTTCATCCATCAAGACCACAGTGCGGATGCGATACACTAATGATAATACACAAAAACATCAAAATGCTGAATGAAATGAGCTTAACCTTTCCTCGAAAAATTGACACATCAAAGAGGACCAAAAAGAAGTGCAAGAGAGTGACGTAAGGCAATAAAAAAATTTCTTTTATTATTTTCAGTGTAACTTTTACAGTGTGTGAGCAGTTATTCAGAGTTATAGATTGTTTTGAAGATAGAAGCTCGTGTTCTCCAGAAGATTAAATGACATAAATCTCATGTGTAGAAAGCAGTGCAAAATCTAACCCTTTGGTTTCGTCCGCGCTAACAATTATTTCGTAAAGGCATGAACAATTATATTAACAAAGAAAGAGATAAGAAATGTCTTTTCAAATGGTCGAAAAATCTCAAAGTGCATAATAAAATAATCCTTCCAATAGTACTTACTCACTTTCTTTGTAATGATATCCAGTGATTGTATCTACTAATGCATCCTCTATCTAAAATGGAGCTTCAATGAGATAATTGTTTCTTTTAATATTAAAAAATCTGAAGAACCAATATACTACCTTCTAATACTTTAAAAAACAAACATCTTCAAAATCGTCCTGTCCTACAGCCAGAAGTGCACACATATGACGCAATAAAACACGATAGCGACAATCGTAAATACCTGGAAATGCAGTATCATTTAATTGAAATGTCACATGGGAAAACTGTCGCTGTTGTTTCAAAGACGAGTTTTGAATAATTGAGCATGAACTATCGGAACAAGACAGATTCTTCACGTTAGTAGAAAGTCGAAATTCTTTCCTACCATTTCATCCTTTTATTAAAACAGTAAGATCTTAAAACTTTTGAAGATTTTGCTTTTCTTACTTCTCCCACAATCGCACTACACTGCAGATGCGACTTCAGTGGAACATAAAATGCACGAACCATACTCGATGAAAATAGACAAA